GAGTTGAATGAGTATGGGAATGTTTTTCTGATAGTTCTAATTCGCTTTTCATGTATGCGATCGAAGTTTTGGGCTTCTCTATATTCAAGAAATCATTTGAGCGAGATTTTTGAAATATTTGTCGTACTTCTATTCGATGGATTTGTGAAAAATATTTATTAGGCATCGAATAGATTCGGTGAGACCCTCTCGTTAGAAAGGAATAAGTATTTAATGGGGATGTTCAGGTGAACTCTTGTGGGCACAGTGCAGCTGAGTGGAATGATAGCTTTTGCTTTCCTCGTGGAAATGGAAGGAACGCTTGGCACGTGTTATTCATTTGGAGTGTCATGCTTACATTGTGGATTGGTTTCTTGTATAAAAAAAAGATGAATGACATAGAGAAATATCTATGGACCATGAGACTGTTCACAGTTAAGAATCGCTGGCTGCAACTGTAGAAGTTGACCACAGGTTTTGTGTTTTGATAATTGATGAATTGCTCTCCATAAATAACTGATTGAATGTTCAGCATTTTATCAACGTCACTTTCAAAAGATGTACTTCCGGGAGAAAGTATGAACGGGAGAGACCGTAAACGATTTAAAATATTCAATTACCAAAGGTGTTCGAACAAAAGACGATGAGATCCATCCATTGGTGGGAAACATAGTGTTTAAATATATCGACATTATTTAAAATAAATTATTTATCATTCAGTACTGATTTATATTATTGAATAAAAAGCAAAAAAGCTTATTTTTTGGTTTAAGCTCTAATTTATTGTAACACTCGTAAGCGCTTACAAAAAAGAGAGAGAAGGAAGAAAACGAGGGAAGGAGTAAAATGAAGGTAGGAAACGCATAAGTGTAACAACTAAAGAGCAGGGAGAAGAAGAATGGAATACAAGGTATAGAACAAGACACAGAGAAAGTAACAGTGGATAAACAGCTACAACAACAAATTCTGAACAAGGTGCTAAGAAGCTAAGAATGGAGGTAGATGATTACGGGGGCTGATTTATGAAATCCAGTCAGGTAAGGAGTAATGAATGGTGTCTAGCTTTCATGTTCATCATCCGCCTCATGGTAAAGAAATGACTCATGTTGTCGTTACTCGTCTTATGGTAATTATTCCAGAAAAATATAGCATCCAAAAATAGCAAGGAGCCTAAGTTTGATGTGTATATCTTTTTTAATCTATTTGATATGTAACGTTTGACGTACTTTTCAAGTGGGTCTTCATGAGTAAAAGATAGGAGTTCTTTTGCTTTAATAAATGGTGCACGATGAATTATACGCATTGCTACTCTAAGTTTGCGAGTTAGTGCTTCCTTGTGAGTTTGAGGAAGGAAGGGGTAGATGGGAAATAGCCAGGCAAAAAGAGGAAAAATGTAAGCGAAGAAACACCTTAGTACATCTTTGGACAGTAATTTGCCACATTTCAACCATTTCAACTTACCTAGTGATTTATTAATGTTCTCTACGCATCTGTTTACTGTAGGCTTTAACAACAGTTTACTAGTCCATGTAAATTCAAGGTATTTAAAGGAGTTAACTATCTCGATCCTTTGATTTAACATATAAATGTTAACCGGCGGGATTTTAACTTGGGAATGGAAAATCTGTACTACTGTTTTACTTACATTAATAGGTTGTCCATTACGTGTGAGAAAGGTTAAAGAAGTCATAGTTTAAAGCAATTCTCTTCCTTGAATGATGATAAAATTTAGGGTGTGGGTGGGTGTGGGTGGGTGTGTGAGTGGATGTGGATGTGGGTGTGAGTGTAGTGGGTGTGGGTGTGTATTAAAATTTGAAAGAATAACTACGACTATAGTTTCGACCTTTCTCAAGGGTCAAAATCTTCAGGTAGTTTTAAGCACTGCATAGTCTTTAAGAAGATGAGATTTTGAATATAAGTCCTTTGAAATCTCTCGATTGCGGTTTTTCTGTTTATGAAGTAGAAGATGTCCGACGCCTGTAGTTTTTACTGTTCTTTAGGTGACTGGAGTCTAATCAAGTGGAGGGTATCTACAATTAATTCGATTGTTAGAGATAGAATTATATAGATACGTTAACTAGGAAGTGGTGATCGTGACTGATGTTTGGACTATTTGTGTGTTACTCACCATTATGAAATTGGATGTTTTGTTGAAACAGGATGCGAATAGTCGAGATGGTTTTTTCATTAATTCGTTTTGGAATAGAATGATGAATAATTTGATTGTGTGAGCTGTAAATAGTGGCGAGATTGTCTGTTTGTCTTAGTGGCGTTTTTTTTGTCGAAATAGTGCTTTTGTACAGCATTTTGTACTTATGGATGTGAAGAGATTATCTGAAATAGAAGGAATGAAAAGACGTTAATTGTTCAGGGAAGTTTGAGGTACTTTATTTTGGAAAAGCGTTATTATGTTTTAGTATTTCATTTAGGCGGGAAAATCAGTGGTGTATTATGAGATTATTGGATTTTGAGCCGTTTTTTTTTATAATTGTTGATGCCGAAATGCCAGGTCTTCCCACTCTTCTTTTTGTCGAAGTAATTCCTGATTTCTTCTGCACTGTTGTGCATAGTCGTTGTTTTGCATGTCGTAGACTTGCATTGCTTGATCGTGTTGGTCCCACCACAGTTGGTCCTGAAGGAATTTTGCATACCGTTCTGTATCGTCTAGTGGTAATCCGTGCGCTCGAGGTGCAGGATTTCCTTGTAGTTCGTTTAAGCCGAAATTTCGAGTAAAAAGCCAGCTGATTTCTTCAACTTGCCATAGAACTTCATTTTTTTTTGACGGAGATATCTCAACGATAGTTGCCGATTATTATTATAGAAAAATCACACCTTGACTCCGATTTTCACTCAGGACACTTCTGAACGATATTTGTGAACATATTTCTATGAGATACTTTATAAATGCAAAATAATATTATCCATTTTGGGTGTGGGTGTTCTCTTTCTGCACAACCACACCCACACCCACACCCACACCCACACCCACACCCACACCCACACACCCACACCCACACCCACACCCAC